AAGGAAAAGTCTGTTTTCTTATATAGCTTTATAGATCTTATATAATAAAATACACATTACTTATCAGTTTTATTGTAATTATAAGTATTTAACTCTATTATAAAGTAAAAGCAAGTCTTATATACTCTTATAAAAGCTCTATGAGTATTATTCATTAATATAATATGGTAAATGTATTATAATAGTCTTATATAAAGGGTATATACATTTTATTAGTTATATATAGAGAATAAAAGCACTGTAATAGTATTATACTTGAAGAAAAAGGTTTGTATCTAATATACAATATAATAAAGAGGTTTTTCTATACTTATAATTTGTATAAAAGTTCTATTAATGTTTATAATATCTAGAAACTCTGTTTGAGAGGTTATAAACTTAATAAATATATAGTACTAGAATGTAATGTGCACATTACAATAGTATAATAAATATTAAGCAAGTCGCTTAGATTATGTAATCATCAAATATCACATGGGACTTAGTACTTAAATCTTGGTGTGGCACTCGTCCTCATCATTCTCTATGCCTCTGACCACCATCAAGTAACCTTCTGCCCTATCACTATGTTGTTGCTTCTGGTCTCTCTAGTCCAGTCCTCTGCTTGCAAGCATCCTACCAGCTCACACTCTGCCTGCAACAACCTAGACAATAAACATCACTGTATGTGTCTCTCCAATCTACTGTTGTGATGCCTGTGCTGAGCCTCAGATCCTGCAACAACACCCCAGCTGACTACACTGTCCTTCAACATAAAGTGTAAGCAGCCAGTCTGTTTCATAATAACCTGTACAGTAGTTGCTCACCCCTCTCCTCTCAACATTTTTGTCTTCCTTCTGCTCCTCCATGCCCTGTGTTGCCTCTCCTTTGTTGTCCTCCTTTTCTTCTTGTTTGCCTTCCTTTTGCATTCACATTCACACATCTGCATTGTTGATCAACTTCTTTAATAATTCTATGCATTTGCATACTTCTTCCTGCTCTGCAGTACAGGCAACAATTGACAAGCAAAAGCTTGCAACAATGTCTATGTACAACCTCTCCTATAGTGCCACCTTCTCTCTTACACTGTATGTGCTCTCCTCCCCCACCCATTCTGTGTTTGACATAACCCTAGACAGGTCTATTTAGTGTGCATTTACATTCCTCAGTACTGTGGATAGTGCCATATTGAGTGCAGGCAGTGGCCCACCACTCACCTCAGCCTAACTAAGTCTGTCTGTGTTTTTCATTTTGCATTCTCCCCTTGAGCTGGAACGTCCCAGAGATACACTCTTACAGTCATCCACAATGACCACTCGGTTCACTACACCTCTGATTGTGAAACATAGTTAGAGCATGCAACACACATGTACAGACACAGCTTTGCCTGCAGCCCAAATCAGCTTGTTCAACATTCCAGATCACAACCCTGGTGTACTGCTCACACTCCCTACACACCATCACAATACATCCATCTCCTTGCTCTAGTTAGCCACTCATGCTAATGTCAACACTCACACTCACACTCTTAGCCAGACAGTCTCACAACTTCTCTCACAAGCACAACCTCAACCTGCACAACATGTACAACCTTACAACTGACAGGCACATGCAATTCAACTTGCAGGGACTGAGTGACAACCAAGTCTTAGTGATGAAGACTACATCAAACAATGCAAGAACACATTCATTGTCTTCCATCATGAATGCTGTTTGAAAAAGAATGAGGCAGAGGCTGCACTACCTGCAGAAGGCAACCTGGTAGCACAACATCAGTGTCAAGCTGACCTCTCCAAAACAATCTCACAACAATGGTGTTTGCTGTTTGTAGAGGAACGTAAGTACTGGGACAAACTTGTGAAGCAGGGGAAGAAAGAGCACAAGGAGATGAATACCTACAGTATGTCTATCAGTTGTTGTGATTTGATAAGGTAGTGATACTTTTGCTCCTATCATAATGTATTAATATTATGTATTGTTGTTAGTAAAGAATAAAATATTTAAATAAAATATATATTGTATAATAAGCCATTCAGATAAGATATAAGCTGTAAATTAACTTATATAAGGATTATAAGATAGTATAAGAAATATTATGCCATATCAAAAGAGGGGTGCAATATATACCATTATAGACTTTCCTAAGAACTATAATTCTTATATCCCTATTGTAAAGACATGTAATGTTTATTAATTCTTATAATATAAATCTATCTTATTACAACCTTATAGTATCTTTTATATATCTTATCCAATGAGGGGTGTAATAAATGTCATTATGGATAATATTGTTTTTTTACATATTTTAGATACATATAAGAGTATATAATAATTTTGACTTTCTCCTGACGAAACTCTTACTAGTCTGAGTAAAC